ATCGGTTTCTGAAACCTAAACGGTTAATCTATCCGGTCAAAAAAAACTGTTGCGATCACAAATCTTCAAACAATCGAGTGGTCTAAACCCAAAGTCGATGTCGTGAACTGTCTGTAAATGATGAGCCCGTAAACTCAAAACTATTTTATGAAATACGTAGTGAAGCCCAATTTCGAGATAAATCGACGCAGTATTCGAAAACCGCTGGCAGAAATGAATTCTGCGGTGCAGAGTTAAACTAGAAACACATTTTCAGACAAATCCGAAGATTTTTATTTTTTCACGAATGTCAAAATCAATGTTACGCTATAAAATGCTTGCCCCCGCCCACCCGCCTCTATATTCTTAGACGGAACGTTATTTGCCAAAATCAGTTTTATCTTAGCAAGTACTAGCCCCGCCCACCCGCCCTGTGTTTCCTTAGAATGTATGTCATCTGCCAAAATCGGTCTTATCTTAGCAAGTACTTGCCCCGCCCACCCACCCTCTATTTTCCTATGGTATATGTTATTTGCCAAAAGGAGTCTTATTTAAACTAGTACCATCCTTCTAAAAAAATAAAGGGCGGGTGGGCGGGGATAGTACTTGAAAAGATAAGACTGATTTTGGCAAATAACAAATTCTTAAGAAAATAAAGGGTGGGTGGGTGGGGCTAGTACCTGTCAGGGTTAAACTGATATTGCCAAATAGCATACCTTCGAAAAACATAAAGGGTGGGTGGGCGGGGCCAGTACTTGCTAAGATAAGACTGATTTTGGCAGATGACAAAGATTCTAAGAAAACACAGGGTGGGTGGGCGGGGCTAGTACTTGCCAAGATACAACTGATTTTGGCAAATGACATATCCTTAAGAAAAAAAAGGGTGGGTGGGCGGGGCTAGTGCTTGCCAAAATAAGTAAATGACCTACTCTCTAAGAAAATAAAGGGCGGGGCTAGTATTTGTCAAGATTAAACTGATATTACCAAATGGCATACCTTCGAAAAAAACAAAGGGCGGGTGGGCGGAGTCTGTACTTGCCAAGAAAAGCCTGATTTTGCCAAATGATATACCCCCTACTCTTTATTTTCTTAGAGACAGCAGAAATGAATTCTGCAATGCAAAATTAATCGGAAAACTGAATTTCAGGCAAATCGGACGACCGACGACTTTTATTTTTTCAGGAGTATTTCGCCTGACATATTCCATGTAAAATCACACGATTATGATACGTCAGACTAACATTTTTATTCGATTACACAGATTCTTCAGTCTTACTGTACTCACTAATCTGGACTTCCTGATAAGGAATCCGTCTTCAGAATTAAGCTACGAACGTCATGATTTTTTTTTTTTCTAATGGTGCCACCTATAGAAAAATGGCGTCCACTTTAACGGTCTTTCAAACCTGAACGCTTAACTTATTCGGTCCAAAAGTTACACGTTCGCACTAGTAAACTTCAACGAATCAAGCAGTATAAACGGAAAGTCGCTCAAGATAACCATTTTGAAATGATGAGTCCCTAAACTAGAAAGATATTTTTTGAGATAAGTAACGAAACTCGATTTTGGCTGAAATTGAATAAGTATTCCACAGTTGATGGCCGAAATGAATTCTGCAGTCTAAATTAAACTAAAAACTCATTTTCAGGAAAATCTAAAGATTTTCATTTTTTCACGAATGTCAAAATCAGTGTTATCACTATAAAATGCTTGCCTCCACCCACCCCCCTCTATTTTCTTAGACGGAACGTTATTTGCCAAAATCAGTTTTACCTTAGCAAGTACTAGCCCCGCCCACCCGCCCTGTGTTTTCTTAGAATGTATGTGATCTGCCAAAATCAGTTTTATCTTAGAAAGTACTAGGCCCGCCCACCCGCCCTGTGTTTCCTTAGAATGTGTCATCTGCCAAAATCGGTCTTATCTTAGCAAGTACTTGTCCCGCCCACCCACCCTCTACTTTCTTATGGTATATGTTATTTGCCAAAATCAGTCTTATTTTAACAAGTACTAGCCTTCTAGGAAAATAAAGACAGGTGGGCGGGGCTAGTACGGGCCAAGATCAGACTGATATTGCCAAATAAAATATTCTTAAGAAAATAAAGGGTGGGTGGGTGGGGCTAGTACTTGTCAGGGTTAAGCTGATATTGCCAAATGGCATACCTTCGAAAAAAACAAAGGGCGGGTGGGCGGAGCCTGTACTTGCCAAGATAAGCCTGATTTTGCCAAATGGTATACCCTCTACCCTTTATTTTCTTAGAGACAGCAGAAATGAATTCTGCAGTGCAAAATTAATCTGAAAACTGAATATCAGGCAAATCGGGCGACTTTTATTTTTTCAAGAAAAATGACGTAGTCCAGTTTAACGGTCTGTCAGACCTAAACGCTTGACTTATTCCATGTAAAATCTGGCCATTTTGATACGTCAGACTAACTTTTTTATTCGATTACAGAGATTCTTCAGTGTTACTGTACTCACTAATCTGGATGTCCTGATAAGGAATGTGTCTTCAGAATTAAGCTACGAACTTCCTGATCTTTTTTTTTTTTTTTTGTAATGGTGCTACCTGTAGAAAAATGATGTCGTCCACTTTAACGGTCTTTTAAACCTTAACTTATTCGGTCCAAAGTCACACGTTCCCACTAGTAAACTCCAACGAATCGAGCGGTATAAACGAAAAGTCGATCAACATAACCGTTTTGAAATGATAACCCCCTAACTTAGAAATATTTTTTGAGATAAGTAACGAAACTTGATTTTGGCTGAAATTGAATAAGTATTCCACAATTGATGGCCGAAATGAATTCTGCAGTCTAAATTAAGTCCAGAAACTCAATTTCAGACAAATCTGAAGACTTTTATTTTTTTGTGAAATATTCCTCCTGACATATTCTCTATAAAATCTTACGGTTGTATTACGTCGAATAACTTTTTTATTCGGTAACCAAGATTCCTGAAATTTGTTGTGCCTACTAATGTGGACCTCCTAAATATGGATCCGTGTCCAGAATTGGCCTAAAGGGCGGCTGAATTTTTTTGAATCTTTGAATAATGAAAAATGACATCGTCCATTTTATCGCTCCATCATGCCGGAACGGTTAATCTACCCGGTCCAAAAATCACATGTTGCGATCGTCAAACCCAGAGAAATCGAATAATATTAACCGGAAATCACTATCTTGAGCCGTTTTCAAATGATAAGCCAGTAAACTAGTAAAATATTTTTTGAGATACGGAATGAAACACGATTTAGGTCGAAATCAAAGAAGTATTCCAAAACTGACGGCAGAAATGAATTCTGCACTGCAAAAACAATCTAAAAACTCGGTTTCAGGCAAATCGGAAGAATTTTATTTTTTCGTGAAATATTCCCTGCAAAATCTTGCAGTATATTACGTATTATAACATTTTTATTCGACAACGGAGGTTAATGAAATTTATTGTGGTTACTAATTTGAACCTCCTGAATAAGATTCAGTATTCAGAACTGCCCTGAGGGACGGTTTGAACCTTTTGCATATTTTATATTATGAAAAACGACATCGTTCACTTATCGGTCTCTCAAGCTAAAACGGTTAGTCCATGCGATCCAAAAATCACACGTTGCGACCATAAAACTCGCGGGAATCGAATAGTATAAACCGGAAATCGATATCTTGAACCGTTTTCAAATAATGAGTCCTTATGAGAAAAATATTACCTGACAATTGTGGCATACCGAGATTCCTGAAATTTGGTCTACTTATTAACTTGAACCTGAATTTGAATCCAAGTTCAAAATTGACCTATGAAGCTTCCTATTTTTTATTTATTTTAGAAAAGAGTAGTCGATTAAGACAACTGACGACAAACGAATTCTGAAATTAGCCTGTACTTGTGGTTTATCAATGCGCCTTGAGTTTCCCCAAAAAACCCCAAGACAAGTACAAAATAAACATAGATACGCAAACTTATTCACATGCATTTAATGAAATTTTTCTCACTCCGTTGCCATGGCGCCGATATCCGCAACATGATCGTACTCAAACCGACATCGCTACACTAACACAATTTAGGTTGATTGCGCGTTATTAAAATCCCCAAGAAGACAACTATAAACAAGTCATCATCAAAATTACGTTATTTGCAACAGTAAACCCAATTCAACTTGCGTTCAGTTTGGAAATTCAGGGTCACACCGTGACATTTACACCATCCGCATCATTCGCTATATTTATGGATGTTCAACGGAGAGTGACATTAATAACCCTGACGGACGCTTTATTACATTTTTTTCGTCGGAAGAATTATTCGACGTACGGGGTTACTGTCAACATCTGTATTTATGCACTGTTGGATAAAAGAGCTTTGACAAAAATCCCACCCGGTGATAAAGCAGCTGCGTCCGCAGAGCTTCTCAAGACTGACTCGGACAGAAAGCACAAACGATTAAAACAATCCGTGTACCGCAGATTTTTTATTATGATTTGATGAAAACCCGTGTAGCTGGAAGAAAATTAAATCGGCTGATTTTTTGTCGCTTAATCGCAATTTCCGCTAAATTTATAACACGTTACGTACCTCCCACATACTTCGACGAGAGCCAATAAAAAGTGAGTTCATGTGGTGAAAATTGCCACTTCAAAATATGCAAATTGCCGTTTAAAACAAGAAAAACAGGCGGGAAATTGTTCGTCGTGAATAATTAAGCTCGCTGGAAGAAATTCTTTTATGGTTTTAAAGAAAGGATCCTGGTGTGAATAATTTATTAAATTATTGCACGGATTTCCATGTCGTATAATTTAACGTGATAATGAAGTGACTGAAACTTTCACGGTGGGTTGGAAGCACTTAGTAATTTAGAGATTTAACGCGGATGTTGCGCTATTGAATTCGAGTTTCTACTAATAAGCTTCGTACGACCCAAACTTGACTAATTAAAAGGACACTAACAAACTTGGCATTGGAAAGCGCGGATTGATCTTCGGGAATTCTGGCGTCTGATACTTTTAATTGGCTATATTGTGACCGCAAAATAAAAGGTTATTCAAATTTAACATACTCCTGTATTTGTGGTTTATGAATCCACTTTGTATTTACCCCTAAGTTACAGGTACTTTATTTGTATAAAATACATAGCACAAAATGACTGTAGATACATTTTATAAATGATAGCTTGCTAAATGTGGTGCACAATCAAACAATCTAAACTACGCAACAAATTCCAGCTCAACTACTTAGCTTCGATGTTCTCTGGTACCACGTTATTCGCTTTGGATTTTCCCGAACACAACGTACCAAAACTGGCATTGAAATGGTCATCACCATAGTACAACAACGTCAACATAATCAAAGAGTTTAAATACCCTACCAAACAAGTGACTACGTTGCTTTCATCAGCCACGTACCGATAATCCTCGAAAGCTTTAATCCCCTGTATCAAGTAATTCGGAATCCAGCAAATAAAATACACCGAAACCATCGCCAAAGCCAAATTCGACTGCTCACTATCCCCGCTGGACGTCTTCCTCTTAATAAACCACAAAATCTGTACAATACAGTACATAATCAAAGAAATCGTCGTAATCGCGAAAATCCAAAGCGACGTTTTCTCAAGAATAGAAACATTGCAGACGTAGATGACCAAAATCACGACGATAAGCCAAATCGCGGAGGTTTGGTACCTGTTGAACCGTCGGACTTTCTCAGCGCAAGCTTCAAAGAAGTTGGAGTAGAGCCAGTCCATGGTGAGGGCGGCCACGAAGAGGTAGTTACCTATGGTGATGGCGACGATGGACCCCAACCAGCACATCGCCACCTTATGGGTGACGTAGTTAATCGAAAAAATAGCGGTGTAGGTGATGGGTTGGAGCAGCAGAAGCATAGCGTCGCAGATGCACCAGTTCAAGATGTAGAAACTGAATATCGAGGTCCATCGTCTGGACTTAAGAATCGTGGAGATGATGAGGATGTCCGCGGTGGCACCGAAGAGGATGGTGATCACGGCTGGTACTAAGACGAAGTTCGAGGGGTGCTCTAGTCGGTAGTGGGTGCTGTTGGACGCGATGTTGTTGAGGAGCTCTTGGAGGTCCAACATCCTGCGGTGAATGGGTGAGTGGATGATTGAGAGACGGTGGTGACTCACCTAGGAAGCAGACGAGACGATGGTTTGACCAACACAAACGCGACCACTGCAAGACGACAAGTGTAAAATAATGGGGTCTTGGGATGTGACTATTTAAAGTTGGAATTAACGATGACACTAGAGATGAATTACGAAACGAGATAATTAAGTAAATGCATTTAACAAAGCCCTGGAAAATAATCTACGATACGAATTCCAGACGAATTGCATAATTAGGCCAGAGAGCGTAATTCAAATTTACGAGGACAACAATTGTGATGAAGCAAAGAATTTTTCAGCTAATAGAAGTTAATTCTGCTGTTAATGGAGACGAATGAAAACACAAATATTTTTAATTATTTGTGCCAATTTTAACAAATTAATCGGGCTTGGTAGTGGGTCATAGTGGGATGATTCGTGATGTGTACGCTTTTTATTTACAACATAAAATCGAAATAATAAGAATTCAACTTACGTCGCAGGATTGCTTACTCATAATTGGATTTATTTGAGCTAATTTGGCTCCTGAATATTTTAGAGCACGGAGAAACATTTTGCCTAGAAAAACGCTAACAGTATTTCTATTTTTAGTTTGAATTTTTGAAAAAGTGGTCTAAAAATCCTGCATACCGAAATATAAAATGCGAGCGCAGCGAGCAAGTTTAGGTGTAATTTAAAATATTATTTATTAGTGTCTCTGGGAAGCTAAATTATTAAAAACAATTTTATCACTAAATTTTAAGAATGTTTATGACCACTAAGGTCTGTGGAACATCCTGAACATGCTCGCTACGCTCGCATTTTGAATGTCAATTTTCTCAATGTAATTTACCTTGACAGAGAGATCTCTAGAATTATTATAATTAAAACTAAGTAGCCTTGTTTACCGTCATCTGTAAATGTTTCTAACACAGTAAATTGATTTAAAAAAGGACATACAGAGAGCGAGTGCAGCGAGCACATTTAGATACCTATTTTTCATATTTGTTCGTTGGTGTCCCTGAAAATTTAATTTATTTTTAAAGAGAATTTTTTAGTATCTAAAAAAGCGAATTTTGAAAATGTTTATGGGAACCTGAACGTGCTCGCTGCGCTCGCATTCTATAAGTTTGTTTGTTTAAAGTAAAACGTCTAGAGATTTATTATTACAACAAAACATGGACAGACAGCTTCACTAAGATTCTTTCTTAGTCAATTTGATGAGACTAAACTGTAAAATAAGAACGTTTACAATGCGAAGAATTTCGAAATTAGAAAACAAATTCTAAATTTAGAAAAATCTAAAAATTCTGAATGCTTTATCTATAAAAAATAGTATTCCAACCACTCCAAAATTTTCAAAAATATTAAAAATTCCAGAGTTGCGCGTATTCTAAAAATTTGAAAAATTTGAAGATTTCAGGTATTTCGTGATATTTTATATAAAGATTTAAAAGATTTTCGAGATTCTGAATGAAGATTGAAAATTCAAGAAATTCTGAAGATTCCAAGGATTCTAACAATTCTGAAGATTCTAAGAGATCCGAAGGTTCTAGTACTTTGAAGGCTGAAGATTAAAAAACAACTGAAGATTTCGAAAATTCAGGAGATTCTAAAGATTACATAAAAAGATTTCTAGGTTTCAGAAATTTCAAAAATTCCTGATATTGGGAGAGTTTAGAAATTCTAGAAATTATAAAGTTTCGAAATATTCTAAAGATTTTGAATTTTCTCAAGATCCCGAAAATTCTGAAGATTCACAGTATTTGGAAGATCGAGGATTCCTGAAAACCTGAAGATTTTTAAGATTCTGAAAATTCATACTATTTGAAAGATTAAAGATTTCTAAAAATCTGAAGACTAAAGATTCCGAAAATTGTGAAGATTCACAGTATTTGGAAAATTGGTGATACCTAGAAATCTAAACACTTTGACGATTCAGGAGATCCTGAAAATTATAAAGATTTCAAAGGTACTAGAAATTTCAAAAATTCTAAAATTCCTGATATTGGGAGAGTTTAGGAATTCTAGAAATTGTAAAATTTCGAAACATGTGAAGATTCTGAATGAAGATACTGAAAATTGTGAATATTCAAAGTTTTCGAAAATTCTGACGATTCACAGTATTTGGAAGACTGAAGATTCTTACAAACCTGAAGACTGGAGATTCTGAAAATGCACAGGATTTGGAAGATTGAAAATTTGTAAAAATCTGAAAACTGAAAATGCCGAAAATTTTGAAAATTCACAGTATTCGGAAAGTTGGAGATTCCTAAAAATTCAAAGACTGAAGATTCAGGAGATTGTGAAGATTACAAAGGTTTCAAAGGTTCTACAGATTTCAAAAATTTCAAACATTTCTGATATTGGGAGAGTTGAGAAATTCTAGAAATTGTGATGTTTCGAAATATTCTGAAAATTCTCAGGATTCTGAATCTTCTAAAGATTCCGAAAATTAAGAATTTTTGAAAAACTTGAAAACTGAAGATTCCGAAGATACTGAAAATTATAAAAATTCCAGATTCCAGAAATTTCAAAAATTCCGTATGTTCTGAGATCCTAGAAATTCTGGAAATTCCAAGAACTTCAGATATTCCGGGATTCTAGAGATTTTAAGGATGATATTCTAATGTTTTTGAAGATTCTGAATATTTCGAAAATTGAAGATTCCAAAAATATGAGATCTAAGGGGTTGACAAGATTCTGAAGAATGTGTATAAAGACTCCAAAGATGTCAACAATTCCAGAGATTCTATAAACTTTAAAGTGTCGAAAGATTCTGAAAATTCTGAAGATTCCACACGTTGCATCAATTTTGAAGATTCTGAAGAATTTAAAGGTCATAGAAATTCCAAAAATTCCAAAGATTCGAAAGACTCTGAACACTCTAAAGATTTTAAAAATTCTGTAGAATCTGAAGATTGAAAATATTCTCAAAGTTTTGAAAATTCCAAATATTGTAACAATTTTGAAGATTCTAAAGATTTCGAAGATTCTAAAGATTATAAAAATTTCAAAGATTCTAGAGAAAAAAATCCTGATGTTCCTGGACTCTAGACTCGAAAATTTTAAAGATTCCAGATATGCAAGAATTCTAGAGATTCTAAAGATTCTGAAAATTCTGAAGATTCCACAGGTTCGTCAATTTTGAGGATTCTGAAAAATCTAAAGATCATAACAATTTCAATGTTCCAGAAATTCTAGAGATTTCAGAAATTTAAAAATTCCTGATATTCCGAGGCTCTAGACTCCAAAAATTTAAAGATTCCAGATATTCCGGGATTCTAGAGATTCTAAAGATTCTGAAGATTGTGAATATTTCGAAGATTCCAAAAAATATGAGAAGTTTGAAGTTCTGAAAATTCTGAAGAATATGTATAAAGATTCTAAAGATGTTAAAGATCCCAGAGATTCTAAAATATTTAGTCTCGGAAGATTCTGAAGGTTCTAAAAATTCCGCAAATTCTGGAGATTTTGGAGATTGTGAAAATTCTGAAGATTCTAAAGGTTCTAACAATTTTAAAGATTCTGAAGAATCTAAAGATAAAAAAATTCCAATGTTCCAGAAATTCAAAAAATTTCAAAAATTCAGGACATTCCGAGACTAGAGATTCCACAAATTCTAAAGATTCGAAAGATTCTGGAGACTGGAAATTCTAAATATTCTGAAAATTCTGTAGAACCTGAAGATCCCAAAGATTCTCATAATTCTCAAGATTCTGAAGATTATAAAAGTTTCGCAAATTTCAAACATCCAGATATTCCGGGATTTTAGAGATGCTGAAGATTCTAAAGATTTCGGAAATTCTGAATATTTACAGTATTTGGAAGATTGAAAATTCCAGAGATGAAGATTTCGAAGATGTTGAAAATTATAAAAATTTCAGAGATTCCAGAAAGATAAAAAATTCCGTATATTCTGAGAACCTAGAAATTCTAGCAAATTCTAAAGGTTTCGGATATTCCGGGATTCTAGAGATTCTAGTGTTTCTGAAGATTTTGAATATTTCGAAAACTGAGGATTCGAAAAATATGAGAACTTTAGGGTTGCGAAGATTTTGAAGAATATGTATAAAGGCTCCGAAGATGTCAAAGATTCCAGAGATTCTAGAAATTTAAAAAGTCTAAAGATTCTGAAGGTTCTAAAGATTCCAAAGATTCTGAAAATTCTGGAAATCCTGAAAATTTTGAAGATTCCACAGTTTCTAACAATTTTGAAGATTCTGAAAAATCTAAATATCATAAAAATTCCAGTGGTATAGAAATTTAAAGATTTCAAAAATTCCGGACATTCTGAGACTCGGGAGATACCACAAATTCTAAATATTCAAAAGATTCTCAAAATTCTGAAGATTATAAAAGTTTCAAAGGTTCTAGAGATTTCAGAAATTTAAAAAATTCGTGATATTCCGAGACTCTACACTCGAAAAATTTCAAAGATTCCAGATATTCCGGGATTCTAGAGATTCTAAATATTCTGAAGAATCTAAAGTTTCTGAAGATTCTAAAATTTCTGAATAATTCGAAAACTGAAGATTCCAAAATATATGAGAACTTTGGGCTTGCGAAGATGCTGAAGAATATGTATAAAGACTCCAAAGATGTCAAAGATTACAAAGACTCTAGAAATTTTAAAGAGGCGAAAGATTCTGAAGGTTCTAAAGATTCCAAAGATTCTGAAGATTCAAAAGATTTTGAAAATTCTGGAGATTCTGAAGATTTCAAAGATTCTGAAAATTCTGAAGATTCCAAAGATTATGAAAACTCTAGAATTCTGAAGATTCCAAAGATTATGAAAATTCTAAAGATTCCATCATTAGGTTGTAACAATTTTGAAGGTTCTGAAGAATTAAAAGATCATAAAAATTCCAATAATTCTGGACAATCCGAGACTGGAGATTCTACAAATTCTAAAGATTCGAAAGATTCTGGAGACTGGAGATTCTAAAGATCCTGAAAATTCTGTAGAACCTGAAGATCTGAAAGATTCTCATAATTCTCAAGATTCTGAAGATTATAAAAGTTTCACACATTCCAAACACCCAGATATTCCGGGATTTTAGAGAACCTGAAGATTCTAAAGCTTTCGGAAATTCTGAATATTTACAGTATTTGGAAGATTGAAAATTCCAAAAATTTCAAGAGATGAAGATTTCGAAGATGTTGAAAATTATAAAAATTCCAGAGATTCCAGAAAGATAAAAAATTCCGTATATTCTGAGAACCTAGAAATTCTAGCAAATTCTAAAGGTTTCGGATATTCCGGGATTCTAGAGATTCTAATGTTTCTGAAGATTTTGAATATTTCGAAAACTGAGGATTCGAAAAATATGAGAACTTTAGGGTTGCAAAGATTTGGAAGAATATGTATAAAGACTCCGAAGATGTCAAAGATTCCAGAGATTCTAGAAATTTTAAAAAGAACGTTCTAAAGATTGCAATAAAAGTCTGAAAATTCTGGAGATCCTGAAAATTCTGAAGATTCCACAGTTTCTAACAATTTTGAAGATTCTGAAAAATCTAAATATCATAAAAATTCCAGTGGTATAGAAATTTCAAAAATTTCAAAAATTCCGGACATTCTGAGACTCGGGAGATTCCACAAATTCTAAATATTCAAAAGATTCTCAAAATTCTTCAGATTCCAAAGATTCTGATTGACGGTTTATCATGCCTATGATAACCTTAAAACGTTTACAAGATTTCAGAGGAATCAGTTTCGCAGTTCAGGAATTAAATTGCAAATTTTATCGAACAATTTTGATTTTTTTTCCAAAATTTATGTCTTGGATAAAAACTCAACATGAATTCTTGTAGGACGACAAAACTGCCCTGACAAAATAACTCCAAGCAAATTTGCTCCGTCAAAATAATCAAAATCTAAAAAGATTAGAATTTAATTATGACCTAACCAGATGTAATCTGACTTGACTTGACTTAACCTGACCTGACCTGACCTGACCTCGTTATTGTTTCAAATAAACAAATTTTAAACATTTTTGTGTGTACATAAAAACCAAAAAGGTACATCCTGAAAACAATTGTATTTTTTTTATTACCGCGCTATTATCTCGGTAGCGGACAGACAGATCAAGGAAAGTTCTGTCTATTTTTTTTTGTCATTTATAACAATACAAAAACAAATTCAAGTTTAAATATACAGCATTCGTCCAAATAAGTGTCATCTAAGCAAAAATGTGTTTCTTCGTTTTGAACAAATTTCGGCATGTTCACCCTTGTTCCACTATTTTCAACCAAAAACCGTAAAATACACCCCTCGATAAATTTAATAACGTTAGTGCGCTTGTAAATTCATATGAAGGTGGTAATTGCAGTTGATGGCAATTTCCTGACTAATTTGAAACGGGCGCAACAGGTGACGGTTCGTTGTCGATAAGGGTCACGTTCCCCCATATAGGGTCCGTCACATCTCGGTAATCTCTGCTATAACATGCTTAGTATCTGCAGTTGGCAGCACTGTCAGGCTCTAAGGTCACGAGCCGCCAATGGGTTTCTTTTTTCGTCGGTATCTACGGATTTTCAATGAAAAATTCACTAAAAAGGGCGAAAAATTAAATGTGTGCTGTCAATCTGTACCTAGTTAATATTTTAGAAAAATTGACGTTAAAGCGTAATAAAAATTCGGCGCAGTTGGATATTATGCAACCAGTTTTACACGCCAGGGTCAAATCAATTCAGTGTTTACAAGGATACGAACGCAATAATTTTTCTAGTACGTGATATAAATTGTAAGAAAAGCGCTAAAATAAAACCCCAATTAAATGAATAGTCGAGCACTTCAGTCTTTATTAAAAATTCTTGAATACAGATCAAACTACGTTGTAGAATTTAATGTTCAAGGCTTTGCATGTTAATTAATTACAAGAACATGAAAATTTTAAGACGGTTGTAGTCGGATGAACAGAACTTTAAGACTCTTTAGAACTTTTATAATGAACCAACCAACCAACTTATTAATAAAACTAACAGCCCATTTTAAGATAAAATAATCGCAATAAATTGATAATTTAAGAACGTACAACGCACATTAATACATTCTAACTAAGTTTCTACGTGATTTATGAGATTATACGACACCGATCCGTTTTCTAAGCCACCGTTCCGACAAGAAATTAACTTTTTAAAGTACATTTGAAAATTCCGGTCACACTTGTACATGTACACTAGCACGAAAGGAAAAACTCCGGTGGCCAAAATATCCGCAAACAACACAACATACGTCGGAACTAAATTATAATAAGCCAAAACAAGAAAAAAATACGCCGGTGTACAAAACACAATCGTTATATTGGCAACCCCTAACCCGACGTCGTGATCAAAAGAACTCCGACTTTTAAATTTCCCTACAACGTTCATGTACGCACAAAACACGATCATAACAATCTGAATCGACAAAACAACGTAAAACGTAGCAAAAACGTCTTTCCTCAGACACATCTTAGTCAAAAACGGAAACACCAAAATCGAGACGAAGTAGATCAAAACGAGAAAAAACCTGTGGTATTTGCAGAATCTGGAATACTTGCTTTCGTTGCTGTACAGCTTAAAGTACCAATTACAAACTAGAAGAATCATAAATAAGAACGAGATCGCGTTCATTATTCGAACCGCCACGAAAATGACGCAGAATTCGCTGTGATACTGGGGCAGAGGAGTCCCGAAGTAGGTGAAAAACCACAAGAGCACTTCGTCTAGAACTAGGCTAATTATTTGCACTAAAACAATGTGGAGGATAATAGTGTTCGTTACGCTCCTCCTGAGGTTCTTGTACTTGATTATCGTGACGGAAATTAAAATGTTCGCTAGAATGGACGAGGCACTGGCTACGGTGGTCAGTTTTAATACTTGTTTCTCGTAAAAATTTTCGCTTGAGTCATCGTCGTCGATTGTGGTCGGCAGCTCCGTCGTTCCTCTTGCGACATTCATTTTACTGGTAAATTATGGTGTGGGTGGTCAGTTGGAATGTTAAATGCAATAGTGACTTACCAGACGCGACTTTTGCTGTGCTGTAATGTGGACTGAGTACGAAACCTGCGGGAAGATAACAATTATCCAGTTGAGCTAATATTGTGCACCAACTAGGTACTTTATTTAGATGTTACCTACCCTAGTTAAGCTCGCAGGTCTGAGAGGCAGTTTTAGGTGGATCGGTTCAGCGACCATGTGGCTATTTTTGGAAAATTCGGACCTTACTTAAAGAGATTGAAATTTGCGACAATAGTAAAAATTGTGACACTTGAGTTAAAAAGTTCTTGAGCACATTGATTTCTTATAAATCGGTACTTTGCAGTCTTTGTTATTACAGCGTTCTAAACAATCTAGAAAAATATTACAGGGATTTCAAAAAATACATTTCAAAATGTTGTACCAGTTGAAATGAAAAAAAATTGATTCATTTTCTACATACCAAGAAAATAAAGTTTTCTACCAAAATTCTTGACATGACAGAGAATTTCAAAGAATTCCGAAGTAACAAACAATATTCTAAATTTAAAAAAATCTGAAAATTTCGAATGCTTTATAAATAGAGAAATAGGATTCCAACCATTCCAAATTTTCAAAAATATTAATAATTCCAAAGTTTAGTATGCAAATTCTAAAAATTTGAAGAGTTCAAAGATTTCGAAAATTTCAAAGATTTCAACGTTCCATACATTCCAAAAATTTCGGATATTTCGTGAGATCAATTTTAGAGATTCTGAAAATTATAAAGATTCCAGAAGTTCCAGAAATTGTAAAAGTTCTGAACATTCCAAAGATCCTAAAGATTCTAAATGTTTTAAAGATTCTCAACATTTCGATTAAGGACTCCAAGAAAATCGAGAACTTTGAGGTTTCGAAGATTCTGAAGAATATGTATAAACATTCCAAAGGTGTCAAAGACTCCAAGGTTTCCAGAAATTCTAGAAATTAAAAAAAAATTCAAGGTTCTAAAGATTACGAATATTCCGCAGATTTTGAAGATTCTGAAAATTCTGAAGATTCTGGAGATTTTGAAGATTCTGAAGAATCTAAAGATTATAAAAATTTTAATGTTCCGAAGTTCCAGAAGTTTCAAAAGTTCCACATATTCCGAGACGCTCGAGATTCCAGAAAGATTCTGAACCCTGGACATTCTAAAGATTCTGAAAATTCTGTAGAATCTGAAGATTCCAAAACTTCTGAAAATTATAAATATTCTAATGTTCCTAAAAATCCTAAAAATTCTAAAGATTCTAAAAGTTCTAAATATTCTAAAAATTCTAAAACTTCTGAAGATTCTAACGCCTCTGAAGATACTCAACATTTCAAAAATGTCAAAGACTACAAAATTCCAAAAATTCTAGAAATTTTAAAAAGTCGAAAGCTTCTGAAAGTTCTAAAGATTCCGAAAATTTGGAAATTTCGAAGATTCTGAAAATTTTTAAGATTCTGAAGGTTCTAAAAATTCTGAAAATAATAATAATAATAATAATAACGTTTTTATTTATTTATCCAAGGTGGTGAAGTTTAAAATTAAAATTCTAAAAATTCTGAAGATTCTAAAGATTTTAAGAATTTCTAAGGCTAAAAATTACAAAAAATCTAAAAACTGTACAGATTTCTAGTATATTAAAAATTATAAAGATTCTAAAGGTTCCAGAAATTCCGAATATTCCGAGACTCTAGGTGTTTCAGAGATTGTCAAGATTCGAAAGATTCTAAAGATTTTGAAAATCTGAAAATTCCAAAGATTCTGAAAATTCTGAAAATTCCCAAAGTCCTAACAATTTTGAAGATTCTGAAAAATCTAAAGATTATAAAAATTTTAATCTTCGAAAAGTTCCAGAAATTTAAAAAATTCCAGATTTCCGAAACTCTGGAGATTCCAGATATTCCCAAAGTTCCAGATACTTGGAGACTCTGGAGATTCTAAAGATTCTGAAAATTCTGTAGAATCGAAGATTCCAAAAATTCTGAAAATTATAAATATTCTAACGTTCCTAAAAATCCTAAAAATTCTAAAGATTCTAAAAATTCTGAAAATTCTAACGCCAAAATTCTAGAAATTTTAAAAAGTCGAAAACATCTGAAGGTTCTAAAGATTCCGAAAATTTGGAAAATTTGAAGATTCTGAAGATTCTAACAATTCTGAAGTTTCTCAAAATTTCGAAGATTCTGGAAAATTCCAAAGATTGTGAAGATTTCGAAGATTCTAAAACTGCTGAAAATTCCTAACAATTTTGAAGATTCCGAAGAATCTAAAGAATATAAAAATTTTAATTTTCCGAAGTTCCAGAAATTTCAAAAATTCCATATTTCCGACACTCGAGGTATTCCAAAAGTTCCAGATATTCCGAGACTCGAGATTCTAGAACTTCTACAGGCTCAAAGAGTCTGAAAATTCTGAATATTCTAACGATCCTAAAGATCCTAAAAATTCCAAAGATTATAAAAATTCTAAAGATTCTAACACCTCTGAAGATTTTCAACATTGCGATTGAGGTTTCGATGATTTTGAAGAATATGTATAAAAATTCCAAAGATTCTGAAACTTCTGAAAATTCCCAGAGGGCTAACAATTTTGAAGATTCTGAAAAATCTAAAGATTATAAAAATTTTAATGTTCCAAAAGTTCCAGAACTTTCAAAAATTACAAATTTCCGAAACTCTGGAGATTCCAGATATTAGGAGATTGGAGATTATAAAGATTCTTCTTCAAAAATTCTCATTTCGTGCAGATTCTTTCGAAAATGTTGCTCCGTGAGCATCAACACCCTATATTTTTGGAATCAGCACGTCGAGATCTACGTCCCTGAATTTTTTCAGAATTTTTAGACAAGTTTTTTAAAACTGAAATTTTTCCAATGGTCCCCCCTTCTTCAAATTTCGGCCAAATTTTGACATTTTCGAAACTTAACTGAATGCATTTTCTTGTAGATTTCGAGGCCTAGAACTCACTTCCGGTCTCGTTTCTTTGATAACTGCTACCGTTTTTCCAAAATCGACCGCCGAAATATCGTGATTTTTAGAAATCTTCAAAAATTCGCATTTCACGCCGATTCTTTCGAAAATGTTGCTCAGTCACCACCAACACCCTACATTTTTGGAATCAGCACGTCGAGATCTACGTCCCTGAATTTTTTCAGAATTTTTAGACAACTTTTTTGAAAATGAAATTTTTCCAATGGTCCCCAATTCTTCAAATTTCGGCCAAATTTTGACATTTTCGAAACTTAACTGAATCCAATTTCTTGTAGATTTCGAGGCCTAGAACTCACTTCCGATTTCTCTTTTTTGATAGCTGCAACCGTTTTGCCGAAATCGACCGTTGGAATATCGCGATTTTTAGAAATCTTCAAAAATTCGCATTTCGAAAGGAAGAAAATTCTGTAGAATCTGAAGATTCCAAAAATTCTAAATATTCTAACGTTTCTAAAAATCATAAAAGTTCTTAAGATTCTAAAAGTTCTAAATATTCTAAAGATTCTTAAAATTCTGAAGATTCAAACGCCTCTGAAGATAATCAACATTTCTGGAGGATATGCATAAAGATTCCAAAGATGTCAAAGACTCCAAAGTTCCAAAAATTCTAGAAATTCTAAAATGTCGAAAGCTTCTGAATGTTCTAAAGGTTCCAAATATTTTGGAAATTCCGAAGATTCTGGAAAATTCCAAAGATTGTGAAGATTCCGAAGATTCTAAAACTGCTGAAAATTCCTAACAAATTTGAAGATTCTGAAAAATCTAAAGATCATAAAAATTTTAATCTTCCAAAAGCTCCATAAATTTCAAAACCACCAGATTTCCCAGACTCTAGAGATTCCACATATTCCTAAAATTCCAGATATTCGGAAACTCTGGAGATTCTAGATATTCTAAAGATTCGAAAGATTCTGAAGATTCTGGAGATTCTAAAGATTTTGAAATTTCTGTAGAATCTGAAGATTCCAAAGATTCTTAAAATTCTGAAAATTCCACAATTTTAAAAATTCTGAAGATTCTAAAGATTTTAAGAATTTCTAAAGCAAAAATTACAAAAAATCTGAAAACTGTGAAGATTTCTAATATACTAAAAATTATGAAGATTTTAAAGGTTCCAGAAATTTCTCATATATCCGAGACTCTAGGTATTTCAAAGATTGTCAAGATTCGAAAGATTCTAAAGATTTTGAAAATCTGAAAATTCCTAAGATTCTGAAACTTCTGAAAATTCCCAAAGTCCTAACAGTTTTGAAGATTCTGAAAAATCTAAAGATTATAAAAATTTTAATCTTTGAAAAGTTCCAGAAATTTAAAAAATTCCAGATTTCCGAAACTCTGGAGATTCCAGATATTCCTAAAGTTCCAGATATTTGGAGATTCTGGAGTTTCTAAAGATTCTGAAAATTCTGTAGAATCTGAAGATTCCAAAAATTCTGAAAATTCTAAATATTCTAACGTTCCTAAAAATCCTAAAAATTCTAAAGATTCTAAAAATTCTGAAAATTCTAACGCCTCTGAAGATACTCAACATTTCCATTGAGGTTTTAGTATGTATAAAGATTCCAAAGATGTCAAAGACTCCAAAGTTCCAAAAATTCTAGAAACTTTAAACAGTCGAAAGCTTCTGAAGATTCTAAAGATTCCGAATATTTTGGAAATTTCGAAGATTCTAAAAATTCTGAAGATTCTAAAGATTTTAAGAAATTCCAAGGCAAAAATTACACAAAATCTGAAAACTCTGAAGATTTCTAATATACTAAAAATTATAAAGATTCTAAAGGTTCCAGAAATTTCGAATATTCCGAGACTCTGAAAACCGTGAAGATTTCTAATATACTAAAAATTATAAAGATTCTAAAGGTTCCAGAAATTCCGGATATTCCGAGACTCTAGGTATTCCAAAGATTGTCAAGATTCGAAAGATCCTGAAGATTCTGAAGATTTTGAAATTCTGGAAATTCCAAAAATTCCAAAAATTCTAACAATTCTGAAGATTCTAAAGATTTTAAAAATTTTAAAGATTCTGAAGATTCTAATATTTCTGAAGATTCGGAATAATTCGAAAACTGGAGATTCGGAAAATCATATATAAAGATGCCAAAGATGTCAAAATTCCAAAGGTTCCAGAGGTTCTAGGAATTTTAAATAGTCGAAAGATTCTGAAGGTTTTAAAGATTCCGAAGATTCTGGTGATTTTGAAGATTCTGAAATTTCTTTGGTTTCTCAAGATTCCGAAGATTCTGAAAATTCTGAAGATTCCAAAGATGTTGAGAATCTGAAGAATTCAAAGTTTTTAACAATTTTGATGATTCTGAAGAATCTAAAGATTATAAAAATTCCATTCTTCCAGAAATTCCAGAAATTTCAAAAATTCTAAATATTCCAAGACTCTAGAGATTCCAGATATTCCAAAAGTTCCAGATATTCGGAGACTCTAGAGATTCGAAAATTTTCAAAAGTTTCGAATATTCTGGGATTCTAGAGATTCTAAACATTCTGAATGTTCCGAAGACTCCAAAAAGACTGAAGATTCAAAAATTTAGATAATTTCTGAAGATTCTAAAGATTCCGAAGATTCCAAAAATTTCAAAGGCTTAAAATTCCAAAAAATCTGAACACTGTAGATTCCGAATGTGCTAAAGATTCTGAATGAAGATACTGAAAGTTCTGAGGATTTTGAACATTTTAAACATTTCGAAAATTCTGAAGATTTGAAAGGTTGAAGATTCCTAAAATCCTGAAGACTGAAGATTCTGAAAATTCACAGTATTTTGAAGATTCTAAAGATACGAAGACTGAATATTTCAAAGAGTTTGAAAATTACAAGGATTTCAAATGTTCCAGAGACCCCAGAGATTCCAAAGAACCTGCGTATTTCAGAACTCTAGAGATTCTAAAAATTCTAAAGTTTCTAAAGATTCTTAATTTTTCAAACACTGAAGATTCCAATAAATTTGCAAACATTGAGGTTCCAAAGAGTTCAAAGATTGCAGAGGTTTCAACGATTCTAGGAATTCTAAAAAGATTAAAAAATTGTCGATAATTTCTAAAGATTCCACAGATTCTAAGTAGTTCGAAGGCTGAAAATTACAAAAAATCTGAACACTCGGAAGATTCCGCATGTCCTAAAGATTATAAAGATTCCGAAAGTTCCAAAAATTTTAAAGATTCCAAGGATTTGAACAATTCTGAAGATTCCAAGGTTTCCGAGGAGCTTGAAGATTCTGAGTACTTCGAAACCTGAAGATAAAAAAATTTGAAGACCGATAAATTCAGAAGGTTCTGAAGATATTTCAAAGGTTCTAGAGATTTCAGAAATTCCAAAAATTCCTGTTATTTAGAGAGAATAGAAATTCTAGAAGTTTCTAAATATTCTTAAAATTTTGGAACATTGGAGATTTCTAAAATCTGAAGACTGAAGATTCCGAAACCTCTGAAAATTCATATTATTTGGAAGATTGAAGATTCCTAAAAATCTGGAGACTTCGAAGATTCCGAAGATTCTGAAAATTATAAAGATTCTAGATTCCAAAAATTTCAGAAATTTCGTATCTTCCGAGACTTGAGATTTCAGAAATTTCTAAAATTCCGGATACTCCAAGACCCTATAAATTCCAGAGATTCGAAAGGTTCTGAAAATTCTAAAAATTCTAAAGAGAAGTTTTTTGTAAATTTGGATCTCCAGAACTTTGGACTTCATTTCTTCGAAAACTCGTACCATTTTTCCAAATTACTGCAATTTTTAAATAAAAAAACATTACTTTCAAATCGAATATATCAAATTTTTTGCTTTTGTGAAAATTTCGTTTTTTTGTAGATTGTTGTATAACATTGTACAATTTGGCTTCAAATAAATTCAACATTTAATTTTTTACTCGATATTGTATTATCGTTCAAACAATTCCAAATAATGTGCCTATATTATACATTTCTTTTGTAAAGAAATAAATGCGATTAAAGTCCAAACAATAATCAGAAGCGATTTAATTGTCTCGAATTTCGTTTGTTCAGTCGTTGCTTCTAATTTAACACACAAAACGTAATCTACAATAAGCTCTTACCATCCTCTTGCTAAAAAATTGTTGACAATCTGCTAATTATCCCTCATTAAAGAATAATTAGCTGCAACAACAGACAAATGAAAACGTGCATAAACTTAAATAAGAAAATATTTAATTTGAAATACGGATTTCACTACAAATAAATAAATAACAACACAGCAATTACAAAGCCATTAAGACCAGATAACTCCGCCGCTTTGTTCCAATATAACAAATCACCCGAAAAATATTTCCTGTAATCTTCGAGAAAAATGATAACTGCCAACGAAAACAACAATAGTCGACAGCTATACAGTTAGCCGGGAATTCCCCCCTAATTACACACATTATAACCCAGTCACGGTCCTGATCACGAATTCACAAACCGTACGTCATTGTCGCAATCACCTAAAACTGCCGCAAATAATAACCCAAAAAAAACGACTCGTCGATAGCTAATCATAATCAGTCTTACGTGGAAATCTTAATGTCATAGGCCATCTGTACGAGATTATAAACAAGTGCGTCATTTCGCTCTTCACCACAACATTCTTCGAATTTTCGTCGAAGAGGTTGTTGCAGACCTTGACAGTTGCGTAACTGCATGCTGTTTGTTATTATATAAACACAACAAATAACAATTCTCGAAAACGTATTAATGTAACGTATAAATTTGTTTAATTCATTATGATTGGAATAACGTGTACAGATTCACACTGGATTCGAGGTCGAAGCACACAACCGAGACGATATTAAATCGTTTTTGACCTCTGGTGCTCCTATCGGTGAAAGAAAACAGTAATCGGTCGAAAAATTGTATTAAATTAAAAACTACATTAATTGTCTGGAATTTGTACACCGTTTACGTCGTTGTAGCTCACGGGAGTTTCTAAACTTTCGTTCGAGTATTCGTTACACTTACAAGTGAACACTTTCCTCAAGAATATGTTGTAGCGATCGTCGTAGTAGTAGAGGTAGATGAGGTTAAACACGGGGCTTGAAAACCCTAACGAAAATACAAAAATTAGTAGCACGGGAGCAGCTATGTTCCCGAGTATTGTTAAGAGTACGAATATCAAAGTGGGACACCACAAACCGAACCAAATATTGGCAATTGCCAGCCCTATGTTCCCTTTACAATCAGACGTAATTCTCCTCCTCCTCACTAAATGAATAATATTTATAATAATTAAGAACAACACTAAAAAACACAGCCCAGCAGCCAAGATCATATAAACGAAGCCATACATGGCACTCTTGAAACATATTTGGACGGTAATCGAACACACGAACATAGTCAGAACATAAAAGGCCGCTATGAAAAATTTATACACACGACAAAACTTCACATAAACGTTTTTGTAGTAAAGTTTGAGGTACCAGTCACAAATTAACAGAAACAAGTACCACGTTATAGCCACCATTATCGTAGATTCGACTTGATAAGAAGCACAAAACACTATAGTGTGCACTGGCGAAACGTCGAAGAACTCCATCAGGATCCTCAAAGTCAGCGGCGTAGCAAGCAAACAAAACGCCTGTAAAATGTTCATTTGAAGAAAAATCACATTGGTGGGGTCCTCCCTCATCTTCTTGTACTTGACGATGACGAAAATTAACAGACTGTTTGCCACCACTGACAGCAATCCCACGACGGTGAACACCTCCAGGAAAATCCGCTCGTAGGAGGTTTCCCGGTGATGGTACTCCTCGTCGGTGAAATTCGACGTGATGTTGGGCAAATCGTCCACGGTGTTGAGGTTACTCATCTGAAAAGTATTCACTAAGTAGGGACACATTGAACGTGTCGTGGTACTTACCTCGATGTGGTTTGCACACTATCTGGACAAATGTTTCCCATAAACTAAACGTACGGAACACATATTATCAGTTATTGTTATTATCTGCATTGCACTGGTCGCTTCGAGCACACGATTTGTCAACAAATTCGGTTTCTTAAAAGCGATAAACGGGTTTGATGGAAACGGGCCGGTTTTTGCGGGATGTGCGCTTTGGGACAAAAATAACGTCACGGGCGTAACGCCCACGTTAATGAGGATTGTTTATAGTTGGCACAACGTGGACTGACGAAAGTGTTCGCGGCCGAATTTATTTAGTTCAGGTTTATAATTACGTGCTGCGTTAAGTTGCTAATCTGGTTGAGGTGCTGTTTTTTAACGAGCGGCGCAGCGTAGCGTTGAAGAGAAAGTTCGGGTTATCAGTGGTTCGAAATATTGTTAATCTAATCTGAGTGGTCCTATTTCCGAAAAATAAAATAAATTTTTATAATGAAAAATAAATTGTGTTGTTAATAACGCACGCGATAAAAGTGTTTATATAATAGGTGGGGCTCTTCGGGGTCGCACGGAATTATTGTCGGTTGTTTATTTACCTGTAGAGTGGATTTAAATAATTCAGGTGGAAATAAAGCGTTTTATTGCTTCTCAATTTGCGACAGCAATTTTCACAAACAATTTCAGTCTGTTATTATTTTATTTTACGAAAATTCATTTAACTCTCTCAAGCAAAAATCTCAAATTTTACACATTCCAAAATAAGTAATGAACTTTTAGCTGGCATGGAATCGGCCTTCTCAGTTTTTGAACCTGTACACTAGGCAACCCATCATTCACGAACAAGAAATCTTCAAAATTTAATTTGACACCGTCCCAAAAATTTATGGCGTCATCTCAAAATTTTGTCGAATAAATTCTTTCTAAAATATGCAAAATATTGTGACCCCATACTCCTTTTTAATAATTTAGCTTCCCAGAGACGAATAATTTTGAATTTTTAAATAACACACGTATATGTGTTCGCTGCGCTCGCATTTTAAGCTTACATTTCCAGGTACCGAGAAAATTGACAAAATATTTTTCAACATTTTCAAAAAAAGATCCCAATGATCTTAAAGATCCAGAGATTCTAAAGGTTCTGAAAACTCTAACGTTTCTAATTTGTGTTTTCTGGATACATATTTCGAAAACTGAAGATCCCAAAAAATCTGAGAATTTTGAGGTTCGAGAAGATTCTGAAGAATTTGTGTAAGGATTCCAAAGCTGTCAAAGATCCCCAAGGTTCCAGAGATTCTAGAAATTTTAAAGAGTCGAAAGATTGTGAAGGTTCTGAGTATTTCGGAGGCTAAAGATTCCAAAAGGCTGAAGACTATATTCTGAAGGTTATAAAAATTTCAAAAGTTGTAGAGATTTCAGAAAATTTTTAAATTCCTGAAATTTCGCGACTCTAGAAATTCTAAAAGTTTCAAAGATTCTAGATATTCCGGAATTCTAGGGATTCCAAAGATTCTGAGGATTCTTTTGAGTCTCTGGAGATTCTGAATATTCCGAAGACTCCAAAATGTGAAAGCTTCCATACTGCAATGATTCTGAAGAAAGGTTCCAAAGTTTCAAGAGAGTCTAAAGATTATGAACAATTTTGATAATTTCTGAAGATTCTAAAGATTTTAAAGATACTGGAGATTCTGAATATTTCGAAAACTCCAAGGATTCCAAACATTCCAATAGTTCCAGAGATTCTAGAAATTTTAAAGTCGAAAGATTCTGAAGGTTTTAAAGATTCTGAAAATTCTGAAGGGATCAAAGTTTGTAAATTATAAATTCTGAGTATTTCGGAGGCTAAAGATTCCAAAAGGCTGAAGACTATATTCTGAAGGTTATAAAAATTTCAAAAGTTGTAGAGATTTCAGAAAATTTTTAAATTCCTGAAATTTCGCGACTCTAGAAATTCTAAAAGTTTCAAAGATTCTAGATATTCCGGAATTCTAGGGATTTCAAAGATTCTGAGGATTCTTTTGAGTCTCTGGAGATTCTGAATATTCCGAAGACTCCAAAATGTGAAAGCTTCCATACTGCAATGATTCTGAAGAAAGGTTCCAAAGTTTCAAGAGAGTCTAAAGATTATGAACAATTTTGATAATTTCTGAAGATTCTAAAGATTTTAAAGATACTGGAGATTCTGAATATTTCGAAAACTCCAAGGATTCCAAACATTCCAATGGTTCCAGAGATTCTAGAAATTTTAAAGTCGAAAGATTCTGAAGGTTTTAAAGATTCTGAAAATTCTGAAGGGATCAAAGTTTGTAAATTATAAAAATCCCAGCATTTCACAAACTCCAGAAATTCTAAAGATTCCAAAGATTCTGAAGACTGGAGACTACAGATTCTGAAAATTCTAAAGATTTAAATGATTCTAACAATTCTGAACATTCTAAAGAGCTCCAAGATTCTGATGATTCTGAGTAGTTCGAAGGCTAAATATTCCAAAAAGGCTGAAGACTTCGAATATTACGAAGATTCTGAAAATTATAAAAATTCCTGATGTTCCGAGACTAGAGATTTCAAAATTTTCAAAGATTCCAGATATTGCGGTATTCCAGAGATTCTAAAGATTGTAATGATTCTTGTAATTTTCTGAAGGATCTGAATATTCCGAAGACACCAAAAATCTGAAACCTTCGATGCTCCGAAGATTTTAAAGAACATAAAGATTCCACAGGTTTCAAAAATTCCAAAGTTTCTAGAGATTCTAAGAATTCCTCAGATTATGAGGATTTTGAAAATTCTGTGGATTCTGACGATTCCGAAGTTTCTGGAGATTCCAGAGATTCTGAAAATTCTGAAGAGGTCAAAGTTTGTAACAATTTTGACGTTTTTGAAGAATTTAAAAATTATAAAAATTTCAATGTTTCACAAACTCCAGAATTTTCAAAAATTCCGGATATATATTTCGGGACTTTAGAGATCCCAGATATTCCCAAAGTTCCAGATATTTCGAGACTTTAGAGATTCCAGAAATTCCAAAGATTATTCTGAAGACTGGAGATTCTAACAATTCTGAACATTCTAAAGAGTTCGAAGATTGCGAAGATTCTGAGTACTTCGAAGGCTGAAAAATATTACGAAGATTATAGAAGATTATAAAAATTTCAAGTATCCTAGAGATTCCAAAAGTTTCAAAGATTCCAGATATTCCGGAATTCTAAAGATTCTAAAATTATGATGATTCTTTTAAGTCTCTGAAGATTCTGAATATTCCGAAGACTCCAAAAATGTGAAAATTTCGATGCTCCGAAGATTCTGAAGGACATAGAGATTCGAAAGATTTCGAAAATTCCGAAGTTTCTGGAGATTCTAGGAATTCTAAAGATTTTGACAATTTCTGAACATCCTAAAGATCGTGAAGATTCTAACTTTTCTGACGATTTTGAATATTTCGAAAACTGAAGACTCCAAAAAATCTAAGAACTTTGAAGTTCCACAAGATTCTGAAGAATTTGTATAATGATTCCAAAGATATCAAAGATTCCAAAGGTTCCAGAGATTCTAGAAATTTTAAAGAGTCTAAGGAATCGGAAGATTCTAAAAATTCCAAAAGTTTTGAGGATTTCGAAGATTCTGAAGATTGCGAAGATTCTGGAGATTCCAGAGATTCTGAAAATTCTGAAGAGTTTAAAGTTTCTATCAATTTTGAAATTTCTGGAGAATTTAAAAATTATAAAAATTCCAATTGTTTCACAAACTCCAGAAATTTCAAAAATTCTGAATATTGCGAATTTCTAGAGATTCTAAAGATTATGAAGATTAAAAAAACTTTTGACAATTTCTGAAAATCCTAAAGACCCTGAAGATTCTAAAGATTCTCAAGATTCTAAAGATTTTAAAGATTCTGAAGATTCTGAATAATTCGAAAACTCCAAGGGTTCCAAAAATTCCAAGGGTTCCAGAGATTCTAGAAATTTTAAAGTCGAAAGATTCTGAATGGTTTAAAGATTCCGAAGATTCTGAAGATTCCAAAAATCAGAGATCAAAGTTTCTAAATTATAAAAATTCCAACGTTTCACAAACTCCAGAAATTTCAAAAATCCAGAAATTCTAAAGATTCCAAAGATTCTGAAGACTGGAGATTCTACAGATTTTGAAATTTCTAAAGATTTAAAAAATTCTGAATATTCTAAAGAGTTCCAAGAGTCTGAAGATTCTGAGTAGTTCGAAGGCTAAATATTCCAAAAAGGCTGAAGACTTCGAATATAACGAAGAGTCTGAAAATTATAAAAATTTCAAAGGATCTACAGGTTTCAGAAATTAAAAAATTGCTGATATTCCGGGACTAGAGAATCCAAAAGTTTCAAAGATTCGAGATATTGCGATATGCCAGAGATGCTAAAAACTGTAATGATTCTTTTAATTCTCTGAAGAATCTGAATATTCCGAAGAGTCGAAAAATATGAAAACTTCGATACTCTGAAGATTCTAAAGAACATAAAGATTCTAAAGATTCTGAAGATTCAAAAAATTTTGACAATTTCTGAAGATTGTAAAGATTCCAAAGAATCGAAGTACATATTTCAAAGGCTGGAAATTCTGAACTTTTTGAAGATTCCGAATATTCTAAAGATTATGAAATTCCAAAGGTTCCAAAAATTCCTGATATTCCGAGAATAGGGATTTTAGAGGTTGTCAAGATTCGAAAGATTCTGGAGATTCTAAAGATACTAGAAATTCTAAAGATTCTGAAGATTCTAAAGATTTAGAAGATTCTGAACATTCTAAAGAGCTCCAAGATTCTGGTCATTGTGAGTAGTTCCAAGGCTAAATATTCCAAAAAGGCTGAAGACTTCGAATATTACGAAGATTCTGAAAATTATAAAAATTTCAAAGGATCTACAAATTTCAGAAATTAAAAAATTCCTGATATTCCGAGACTAGAGATTCCAAAAGTTTCAAAAATTCGAGATATTGCGATATTCCAGAGATGCTAAAGACTGTAATGATTCTTTTAATTCTCTGAAGAATCTGAATATTCCGAAGAGTCGAAAAATCTGAAAACTTCGATACTCTGAAGATTCTAAAGAACATAAAGATTCTAAAGATTCTGAAGATTCAAAAAATTTTGACAATTTCTGAAGATTGTAAAGATTCCGAAGATTCGAAGTACATATTTCAATGGCTGGAAATTCCGAACTTTTTGAAGATTCCGAATATTCTAAAGATTATGAAATTCCAAAGGTTCCAAAAATTCCGGATATTCCGAGAATAGGGATTTCAAGGAGGTTGTCAAGATTCGAAAGATTCTGAAGATTCTAAAGATACTAGGAATTCTAAAGATTCTGAAGGTTCTTAAGATTTTAAACTTCCTAAAAATTTTAAAGATTTAAACATTCTGAAGAATTTGCAATAGGATTCAAAAGATGTCAAAAATTTCAAAGTTTCCCGAGATCCTAGAAATTTTAAAAGATCGAAAGGTTCTGAAGTTTTTAAAGATTCCTCAGATTCTGAGGATTTTGAAAATTCTATGGATTCTGAAGATTCCGAAGTTTCTGGAGATTCTAGAGATTCTTGAAATTCTGAAGGGATCAAAGTTTCTAACAATTTTGACGTTTTTGAAGAATTTAAAAATTATAAAAATTCCAGTGTTTCACAAACTGCAGAATTTTCAAAGATTCCAAGGATTATTCTGAAGACTGGAGACTAACAATTCTGAACATTCTAAAGAGTTCGAAGATTCTGAAGATTCTGAGTACTTCGAAGGCTCAAGATTCCAAAGGGGTTGAAGAATATTACGAAGATTCTGAAGATTATAAAAATTTCAAGGATCCTAGAGATTTCAGAAATCTAAAAAATTCCTGATATTCCGGGACTCTAGAGATTCCAAAAGATTCAAAGATTCCAGATATTCCGGAGTTCTAGAGATTCTAAAATTCTGATGATTCTTTTAAGTCTCTGAAGATTCTGAATATTCCGAAACTCCAAAAATCTGAAAATTTCGATGCTCCGAAGATTCTGAAAAACATAAAGATTCGAAAGATCTCGAAAATTCCAAAGTTTCTGGAGATTCTAGGAATTCTAAAGATTCTGAAGATCAAAAAAATTTTGACAATTTCTGAAGATCCTAAAGATCCTGAAGATTCTAAATGTTCTCAGAATTCTAAAGATTCTGAAGATTCTAACTTTTCTGAAGATTTTGAATATTTCGAAAACTGAAGATTCTAAAAGATCTGAGAACTTTGAAGTTCCAGAAGATTCTGAAGAATTTGCATAATGATCCAAAGATATCAAAGATTACAAAGTTTCCAGAGATCCTAAAAATTTTAAAGAGTCTAAAGTTTCTAAATTTCAAGAATTCCGGATATTCCGAGACACAGATTTTCCAAAAATTCTAAACATTTCAAAGATTCTGAAGACTGGAAATTCTAAAGAGTACTGAGAATTCTAAGTAAGTACTTCGAAGGCTGAAAATTCTAAAAAGACTAAAGACTGAATATTCCGAAGATTCTGAAGATTATAAAGAATTCAAAGGTTCTAGAGGTTTCACAAATTTTCTAATATTCCGAGACACTCTAGAGATTCCAAAAGTTTCAAAGATTCTAGATATTCCGGAGTTATAGAGATTCTAAAGATTCCAAAGATTTTAAAAGTTTTGGCAGTTCCTTAAGATCCTGAAGATTGTAAAGATTCGAAAGATTCTGAAGATTCTAACTTTTCTGAAGATTTTGAATATTTCGTAAACAGAAGATTCTAAAAGATCTGAGAACTTCGAAGGTCCAGAAGATTCTGAAGAATTTGTATAATGGTTCAAAGATATCAAAAATGGCAAAGTTTCCAGAGGTCCTAGCAATTTTAAAGAGTCGAAAAATTCTGAAGGTTCTAAAGATTCCGAAAATTCTGAGGATTTTGAAGATTCTGAAAATTTTGAGAATTCTGAAGATTCCGAAAATTTTGGAGATTACAAACATTCTGAAAATTCTGAAGAGATTAAAGTTTCTAACAACTTTGAAATTTCTGAATAATTTAAAAATTAAATATAAAAATTCCAGTGTTTCACACACTCCAGAAATTTCAAGAATTCCGAATATTCCGAGACTAGATTTTCCAAAAATTCTAAACATTCTAAAGATTCTAAAGACCAGAAATTCTAAAGAATTCGATGATTTTGAGAATTCTAAGTACTTCGAAGGCTAAAGATTCCAAAAAGACTGAAGACTAAATATTACCATGATTCTGAGGATTATAAAGATTTCAAAGATTCTAGAGGTTTCAGAAATTTTCTAATATTCCGACACTCTAGAGATTCCAAAAGTTTCAAAAATTCTAGACATTTCGGATTGATTCTTTGAAGTCTCTAAAAATTCTGAAGAACATAAAGATTCCAAAGACTTCCAAAATTCCAAAGTTTCTAGAGATCCTAGGAATTCTAAAGATTCTGAACATTCAAAAATTTCTGAAAATCCCAAAAAATCCTGAAGATTCTCAAGATTCTAAAGATTCTGAAGATTCTGAATATTTCGAAAACTGAAGAAAGATTCCAAAAAATCTGAGAACTTCAGATGATTCTGAAGAATTTGTATAATGATTCCAAAGATATCAGAGATTCCAAAGATTCCAGAGATTCTAGAAATTTTAAAGAGTCGAAAGACTCTGAAGGTTCTAAATATTGTGAAAATTCTGACGCTTTTCACGATTATGAAAATCTCAAAACTTCAAAGCTCCGAGGATTACAAAGATTTCAATTCCAGTTCAGGATGTTTCAATCCGAGGGACATTATAGACACCAAAAACAATCTTCAAAGTCACATTTTAAGTATTAATATTTTTTTTATAATTTAGCTTCTTAGAAACACCAATAAATGATTTTTTAAATTCTACCTGAACGTGCTCGCTGCGCTCGCATTTTATTATTAAACTTGCGTCCCGAGGTACCGAGAAAATTGAAAAAAACAAAACAAAGATTGTTAAAACGGCAGCATGCAGAGAAAAAACAATTGTTTATATGGACGCGTTTTCATAGATTAATAATAATATTAATAATAATAATTAATTTGAGGCAATTTTTTTGCTCTATTTTTGAAATAAGTTCCAAACTGCCAATTTAAAAAAAGAAACAAAGAAAACTTTTTCTGTATTTTAATCTGAAGTAATTTTCGCTCTGTACAAATAATCCAGAAAATTAAAAAAATAATTTCCAAAAATTTTCCAAAAAACACGATCTCCATTCAAAAAGAAAAAAAGCAGTGGATTATATCGATTTTTTCTAGATTAATAATTTGGCGGGATTTTGGTTCTGCCCATTTCAACAACCGACAAAAGTGGCAAAATAGTTTCCAAAAATTTTCAAAAAAAGTACTATATCCCTAGAATTGTTTTTAAACTATCTACAAATTACCGAAGAGTGTGACAAAATGATATTAAAAAAAATCCAAAAAAGTAAAAAGGAAAAAAAATAGTTCAGAGAGAATTTCTTAACAGATTAATAATTTGAGGGTATTCTGGCTTTGACCATGTAGATAATGTAGAAAATTGAGAAAATATTGTTTTTCGTCTTTATTTTCATAGAAGTGTGCAGGAAAGTGATCAGCCAATTTTTTGGGTTCTATTGCAAAAATAAATCTCTAGACCACACTCAACAATTGTTGGTTGCATAACCATTATTTTAAAACTGAACAGTCTCGTGTTCAGAAACGAAAAAAGTCTTGTTATATATGGCACTTGTCATTAAAAATTAGCGCAACAAATTTACCGTAAACTTACTTTTTCAGGACCTGTCAACGAAACACGAAAACTGGTCTTTCGTAGAAGTTAGATACGAGTTTCGTTGAGCACAACCAATGAACTGTTAGTCATGTAATGATCCCGCCTGAACTGCTTATTTAATTACATTGTGACAATGCGTGCCCACTTTCTGAAAGTCATGCATAAACAATTCAGCCGAAGCGACTCAAATTTTCAACAAACAATTCTCAGCAGCAATTGTTGACTAATAGCTGCAGTGACATTGAAAAGAATGCTCTTTTCCGTTATAATGACATCACAAAAGAAGCACGACGCCTACGTTGTTTAATAGACTATTTACTATCGAGTTTATAGTTTGTAGTCATGTGATAAAATTACCAAATTCAAAAATTGCGACAAAAAAGGCTTTATTAAGTTTCAGAAACTGCCACACTATTTACGTTCTGATAACGTACAGCCGGACTCTCCAAACCCTCGTTCGAGTATCTATTCCGCTCACATTTAATCACCTGTCGCAAAAATATCCTATAATAATCGTCGCAATAATAAAGATAGATTAAATTAAACACCGGACTAGAAAACCCTAACACACACAAAAATATAACAAAAACAGGTGCGTACATTTTCAAACCTATAAACTCTAAAAATAACAGCACGAGAACTCCACTCCACAATATGAAAAAAATATTCGTGATAGCCAACCCATTGGTACCTTTGCGGCCTCCTAAAATGCGTCTTTTTTTGAATAAGTGGACCACATTCACAATCACTAAAGTCGTCGCTAAAAGATGCACCCCTATAAACATGAACATATAAGTCACCGCGAGCATTTGGTGGTTCAGACAATAATGAACCGTAATCGAACAACCCATCAACATCACCACGTAAAGCATAATTATAAAGAACTTGTAAATGCGGCAGAATTTTTGGTACGTGTCTTCGTGGTACAGCTTTAGGTACCAGTCACAAATTACAAGAATGTGGAACCACGTTATCCCAAACATCATGTTAAACTCGACTTGATAAGTCAAACACAACACAATCGCATGTATTTGCGAAACGTGAAAAAACGACATCGAAATTCGAAAAGTCAGCGGCGTGGCTAACAAATATATAGCTTGGATGATGTTCACGTGTAAGAATATGACATTCGAAACGTCTTCCCTCAACTTCTTGTTTTTGGCGATGGTGATGATGAAGATGATGTTGGCGGCTTCCGACAGGAGTCCCACGACGGTGAAGAATTCCAAGAAAAGTCGTTCGTAGAAGCTTTCGTTGTGTTGGTAGACTTCGTCCGAGAAGTTTGCCGTCACGTTTGGCATGTCGTCCACTGTGCTTAAATTGGCCATCTGGAATTTTGTGAAAACAGACTGGTTTAAATTTAAGTTGTGCTACTTACTTTGTGGTTAAAATTGTTGCTGCTTACGCTACTAGACTAGACTAACATTGTTATTACTTCATCAGTCCACACGGACTAAACTATATACCCACACCAATAAGGCAATTACGGAATACTTAACTAAAACGAACAACGACTTTACGAAGAAGTCTTGACAATTAGTGTTACACGGGAGTGTCTGAATTAAAAAAAAGTGCTCTTTTCCGGTAAAAGTGACGTTATAAAATTAAGGGAGCAACCGCCCACGGTCTTTAATAAACGATCACAATGTGCTATCAACCGGCGTCGTAGTTTAACATCTGATGTTCTTAAAATACTTCTAACATGTTTGATCTTTTTAACGGGAGGGGGTTTAAACATTTTAACAAGCTACTACTAAAAAAATTACAAATCTTGTAATTAATTGACTAATTATATGCTGATAAGTGCTAATCTAAGACCTTTTTTCTATTCATTTTTACAATTTTTGAGTTTTCTTTGGAAATTTTTGGAAAAATAGTTTACACCGTTGTCGGTTGTTTAAATATGCAGAGCAAAATGACCCAAATTGTTGATTTACGAAGAATACTCTATTAAACAGAGCTTTTTCTCTTTGAATAGATATTACTTATTTTAACATTTTTTTGGATTTTTTTTGAAAAAAATTTTTTTAGTGTTTAATCTAGTGGTTTTTGACACCGTTTAAATTTTTATGAAAAATTTTTGGATATTATTTTTCCAATTTTAATAATAATAATAAGTTTCTCGATTATTGGTAGATACAGAGTGAAAATTACTTCAGATTCGTAGTTTACCTGTGTTTTTTGTATGTCGGATTATTATTTCTTTGAACTATTTTTTGAAAATTTTTAGAAAATATTTTGCCACTTTTCTCGATTGTTGGAATGGGCAAAGCCAAAATCTCGTAAAATCATTAGCCTAGAAAAAATGTTCTTAATCTAGTGCTTTTTTTCCTTTCATATGTACCTAGATCGTGTTTTTTTGGAAAAGTTTTGGAAATTATTTTTCCAATTTTCTGGATAGTTTGGACAAGACAGTGAAAATTACTACGGATTTCAAATACAAAAAGCTCAGTGCTTTTTTCTACTGTTTTAACAGTTTTTTTTTGGAAAATTTTGGAAAGATATTTTGTGAAGTTTCTCGGGATCCCAATTTTAAAATGCGATTTTGTAATCTTCAGCTTTCGAAGTACTCAGAATCTTCAGAATCCTTCGGAACAATTGGAATCTACAGAATTTCTAGGATCTTTAGAATCTTCAGAATCTTCAGAATTTTTCGAATGCAATAGAACCTTTGAAATATTTATAGTCTTTAGAATATTCGCAATTTTCAAAATGTTCAGAATTTCCAGCCTTTGATCTTCGGAATCTTTAGAATTCTTAGAATCCCTAGAAATTTTGGAATTTTTGAAATATTTGGAATCTTTATGTTCTTCAGAATCTTCGGAGCATAAAGGTTTTCAAATTTTTGGAGTGTTGGGAATATTCAGAATCATCAAAATCTTTAGAACCTCTAGAATTCCGTAATATCTGGACTCTTTGAAACTTTTGGAATCTCTAGAGTCTAAGAATATCAGGATTTTTTTTATTTTTGAAATGTCTAGAACCTTTGAAATTTTTATAATCTTCAGAATCTTTACAATATTCAAATTCTTCAGCCATTTTGGAATCTTCAGCCTTCGAATGTTCGAACTCTTTACAATGTTCAGAATTGTGTGAAATTTTGGAATCTTTACAATTTTCAAAATCTCCATAATCTTTGGAATCTTTAGAATTTCCGGAATCTCTAGAATATTGAAATATCTGGAACGTTTAGAATATTTGGTATCTCTAGGGTCGCGAAATATCAGGAATTTTTGAAATTTCTGGAGTTTGTGGAATACTAGAATTTTTATATTTAATTTTTAAATTCATAGAAATTTCAAAATTTTTAGAAACTTTGTTCTTTTCAGAATTTTCAGAATCTTCAAAATCCACAGAATCTTTGGCATCTTTGGAATCCATATACAAATTCTTCAGAATCTTCTGGAACTTTAAAGTTGTCAGATTTTTTAGAATCTTCAGTTTTCGAAATATTCAGAATCTTCAGAAACGTTAGAATCTTTACAATCTTGAAAATTTATAGAATCTTTAGAATCTTCGGGATCTTTAACATGTTTGGAATGTTTTTTAAAAAATTTTGAAACTTTTGGAATCTCTAGAACCTCAGAATTTCAAGGCTTTTTAAAATTCCTGGAGTTTATGAAACATTAGAATTTTTATAATTTTTAAATTCTTCAGAAACTTATTATTAGAAACTTTGATATTTTCAGAATTAGCAGAATCTTTGGAATCTTCAGATTCCTCAGAATTTTCAGAATCTTCAAAATTCTCAGAATCTTGTGAATTTTTAAAATTTCTAGAATCTCTGGAACCTTTGGAATCTTTGACATATTTGCAATCCTTATGCAAATTCTTCAGAATCTCCTGGAATTTCAAAGTTGTCAGAATTTTTGGAATCATGTCGAACGTTAGAATCTTCAGAATCTTTAAAATCTTTTGAATCTTTAGAATTTCTAGGATCTTCAGAATCTTTCGAAACTTGACAAACTCTGAAATCCCAAGAGTCTCGGAATATCCGGAATTTCTGGCATCTTTGGAATCTTTTTAATCTTTAGAATATTCGGAATCTTCAAAATTTCTAGCCTTTGAGATATTTCGAATCTTCGGAATCCTTAGAATTTTTAGAATTCCTAGAATCTCTAGAAACTTTGGAATTTTTGAAATCTTTGGAATATTTATGTTCTGCAGAATCTTCGGTGAATCGAAGTTTTCAGATTTTTGGAGTCCTCGAAATATTCAGAATCTTCAGAGAATTAAAAGAATCATCAGAATCTTTAAAATGTCTACAATTCCGGATTATCTGAAAACTTTGAAACTTTTATAATCTCTTGGAGTCTCAGAATATCACGATTTTTTAAATTTCTGAAATCTCTAGAACTTTTGAAATTTTTAAAATCTTCAAATTCAAAGTCTTCAGCCTTTTTGGAATTTTTAGCCTTCTAAGTGCTCAGAAACTTCAGAATCTTCGAACTCTTTGTTCAGATTTGTTAGAACCTTTGGAATCTTTAGAATTTTCAGACTCTTTAGAATCTCCAGTCTTCAGAATCTCTGAGTCTCGAAATATTTGGAACCTTTGAAATATCTCGAATCTCTAGAGTCTCAGATAATATCCGGAATTTTTGAAATTTGTGGAGTTTGTGAAACATTAGAAGTTTTATCATTTTTAAATTCTTCACAAACTTCAAAATTGTTAAAGACTTTTATCTCTTCAGAAACTTCCGAATCTTCAGAATCCTCAGAATTTTCAGAATCTACAAATCCTCGGAATCTTTGGGATCTTTAAAACCTTCAGAATCTTTCGAATCTTTAAAATTTCTAGTTTCTTTGGAACCTTTGGAATCTTTGACATTTTTGGAATCCTTATACAAATTCTTCAGAATCTCCTGGAATTTCAAAGTTGTCAGAATTTTTGGAATCATGTCGAACGTTAGAATCTTCAGAATCTTTAAAATCTTTTGAATTTTTAGAATTTCTAGGATCTTCAGAATCTTTCGAACCTTGACAAACTCTGAAATCCCAAGAGTCTCGGAATATCCGGAATTTCTGGCATCTTTGGAATTTTTTTAATGTTTAGAATATTCGGAATCTTCAAAATTTCTAGCCTTTGAGATATTTCGAATCTTCGGAATCCTTAGAATTTTTAGAATTCCTAGAATCTCTAGAAACTTTGGAATTTTTGAAATCTTTGGAATATTTATGTTCTTCAGAATCTTCGGTGAATCGAAGTTTTCAGATTTTTAGGGTCCTCGAAATATTCAGAATCTTCAGAGAATTAAAAGAATCATCAGAATCTTTAAAACGTCTACAATTCCGGATTATCTGAAAACTTTGAAACTTTTGGAATCTCTTGGAGTCTCAGAATATCACGATTTTTTAAATTTCTGAAATCTCTAGAACTTTTGAAATTTTTATAATCTTCAAATTCAAAGTCTTCAACCTTTTTGGAATCTTTAGCCTTCGAAGCGCTCAGAATCTTCAGAATCTTCGAAGTCTTTGTTCAGATTTGTTAGAATCTTTGAAATCTTTAGAATTTTCAGACGCTTTAGAATCTCCAGTCTTCAGAATCTCTGAGTCTCCAAATATTTGGAACTTTTGAAATATCTGGAATCTCTAGAGTCTCAGAATATCCGGAATTTTTGAAATTTGTGGAGTTTGTGAAACATTAGAAGTTTTATCATTTTTAAATTCTTCACAAACTTCAAAATTGTTAAAGACTTTTATCTCTTCAGAATCTTCCGAATCTTCAGAATCCTCAGAATCTACAAATCCTCGGAATCTTTGGGATCTTTAAAACCTTCAGAATCTTTCGAATCTTTAAAATTTCTAGTTTCTTTGGAACCTTTGGAATCGTTGACATTTTTGGAATCCTTATACAAATTCTTCAGAATCCTCTGGAATTTCAAAGTGGTCAGAATTTTTGGAATCATGTCGAACGTTAGAATCTTCAGAATCTTTAAAATCTTTTGAATCTTTAGAATTTCTAGGATCTTCAGAATCTTTCGAACCTTGACAAACTCTGAAATCCCAAGAGTCTCGGAATATCCGGAATTTCTGGCATCTTTGGAATCTTTTTAATCTTTAGAATATTCGGAATCTTCAAAATTTCTAGCCTTTGAGATATTTCGAATCTTCGGAATCCTTAGAATTTTTAGAATTCCTAGAATCTCTAGAAACTTTGGAATTTTTGAAATCTTTGGAATATTTATGTTCTGCAGAATCTTCGGTGAATCGAAGTTTTCAGATTTTTGGAGTCCTCGAAATATTCAGAATCTTCAGAGAATTCAAAGAATCATCAGAATCTTTAAAATGTCTACGATTCCGGATTATCTGAAAACTTTTAAACTTTTGGAATCTCTTGGAGTCTCAGAATATCACGATTTTTTAAATTTCTGAAATCTCTAGAACTTTTGAAATTTTTATAATCTTCAAATTCAAAGTCTTCAGCCTTTTTGGATTCTTTAGCCTTC